TCTGTTGCAGCAAAACCATTAGCCTCTCTTGAAGCTCCCTGAAAACTTTTAAAAAAATTATTGAAAACTTGTGTGAACCTGAATCCTCCATTAGATTCCTCACCAACCTCCCCTATTTTTGGCCTTTGGAGACAACATGAAGGACACAAAGTCTGTGCACAAAATGATACATTTATTGAAAGTTTTTTTTAATACAAAAGAAAGCTCTGTACATAGTACTGCAATTACTGTCACATCCTTCCAGAAACACAACCCTGGAAATTAATAAACCACACACACAGCCACTCACACACACACACACGCAGACACACACACACACAAAATCCAAAAACAATCTGTAAAGTGAACTAAAAAAGGTCACCACACAATAAATGCCATTTCATCCCTGATAAGTGTTCTTACAAGTCAACACTTTAAATTACATGCAACATTAGCGTTTAATCTGCATATGCTTTTGTAGGACAGAGTTTCCTAAACAAGAAATATCCAGTGAGTGGAGATCCACAGCTCTAAAAATGGGAGGGGGAGGGGGAAGATGAGGGAGTATGGAAAGCAAATTCAGAAAAGAGCATGAATTTCTGGAGCTTGGCTTCTTTCTATTTAGCAGGTAACTCTGAATTAGAAACATGATTAGAGAATTACTGCTTTGCAGGTGTGCTTTAATTCCAAACACTTCCATAATACTTTCGACTAGAAACAAAAATAATTCTACCTATAGATGCTGCTCTGTTGGCAACTGGACATGTGATGGACGGACATATGCTATCCCCCACCCATCCCTTATTATCTTCTCAGTGGGTGAACACAGGGGATAAGTTATTGAAGGGGTCAACTTACAAACAAGGGGAACTACTTGGGTACTGGTAATTTATTTTCTGTGTTATATGGAGAAAACATTACCACTTTCTTTCCTTCCAGGTTTCTGATCAAATGAAGAGGTAAAGGTAAATTCCTAGCAGTCTGCAGCTCAGCACAGAGCACGAGATACTAAGTGCATATCTACAGATCAAAATGATCTCTGGTTACCAATGTATGTCAGATAGTCTTCAGCTCATGCACTCATTAGAAAGACTGGGTCAAAAATCTTTTAAATAAATTATTATCAAATAGTGGAAGTGCATTTAAAAGATCTTTAAAAAGATCTTTAAAAAGATCTATAGCAACCATTTATGTAGAAAACAAAATGACGGCATCCATGCATTTTGAAGAGTAAATAATGGAGAAAATTGTTTTGCTCAAAGTTTGGTATGAGTTTATTTTATTTATTTGTTTAACTTGTATGCCGTCCACACTACCCAAAGGTCTCTGAGCGGCTTACAACAAAAGCTTACTGCACATCATTAGGGAGGGGTCAAGATTCAGTAGAACTCCCAGGATGGTTTATAGGATAGTCACAACTCAAGATGAAAAGGACAAATGGGAATTCAAATCCTTAAACCAAACTGTTAGTCCCAACTAAAGCAGACCCACTGAATTAATGGAACTCACATAACTACTGACTTACCAACTTCCCACTGATTCAGTGGCTGAAATCCGGTTGCTTCAACTTGTGCCATATAAGGCTGACGATATCATCAACAATGGCAGATTTTCAGAAATTAAAAACTGATTCCCATCGCTACCCCAGAGGTCCCGGGTCTCCCTTCGAACCCCTTTTGTCATGGGGAAGCCTTTGGGTGCTGTGGGACAAAGAGGAAGGTTTGGTTTTCAGATGACTACCCCCTGTCCTGCAGCCCCCTAAGATGTTCCCATCATGAAAGAACCCCAAGAAGCTTTGGGGTCTTGGGGGAGCAAAATCATACTTTTTTAATTTCTGAAAAACTGCAGAGGCTAATTATATCCTCAGCCTTACACGCCATTAAGTTTTGATTTCAGCCAATGGGACTTCTCTGACTGGGACTTACAACTGGATTCAAGTGAAAGTATCTCTCTATTCCAGTTACTAGGTGCTAAAAATGTACCATGAAATATATCAGTTCTGAGGAACATTTAGTCCCGCTCATGTTTTCAATTATCACAAGCCCCACTTAGAATGTCTAATGGTCATGGATTGGGGGTGGGGATGGTATATAGTCAAAAACCTCTGGAATGCCAAAGGTTCCCTTGTTCTGACATATGGATTGATTGAGGTTTGATCTACATAGATAGTGAAGATGTTTTTAGAATGGATTCTTATTCCTTCACACTGCAGTTAGGAAGATACCATTTTTAATGACGGTTGACATTAACACACACACATACACAGATGCATAACATGAAATGCTAGCCTATGAGAAGAATAAAAGTCCTGAACCAGCTTAGCCCTTTATTCTAATTTTGGACTTAACAACTGTTTTTAAAAACCCTTTTTTGTTGTTGTTGTTGTTTTGTTTTTGTTTTTTGAAAACTTTAGAAAAACTGCTCCTGCTTGGCAGCACAACTCTCAGAATTCTCAGGCAATATTTTTTCAACTCTGGATTTGTTCAGCAGGCATTCAGAAATGTGACCCTCCACCATGAGTAGGTTTGAAATTACAAAGACCACTCTACTATTAACTGAAAACCAGACCTGAATGACCGGGACATAATTTCAATAATATGATGAACTGAACAGGCATTGCCAATCAAATCAAAACACTGTATGGGCCTCCCTATTTTGTTGTCTCAACTTATCCACTGTGTACCGGAGACAGAAGACCAGTTTAAACGCTAATGTTCATGGACATAATTTCAACAGGTTATCGTACAAATTAAAAAGCCCCCCCTTCCTTTTCCCCACCCACCCCATGGCCCATTTCTCCCCTCCCCCACCCCAAAGTACAAACCCCATGAAAACTGTACAGGAGCCAGATTTCCTTTAAGAATTACATAAATACTGAGTTTAACACTTAGAAAAATAAAGTCTTTTTTTTCAAGGCTTCTTTTGTCTTTTAATTAAAAAAGAAAAAGTTACAGTAGCTGCTTCCTTTTCTCTAGAAGTCTGCAGCCTACTTGCTCCAAAGCAAGGTAAAAGGAGGGGGGGGAGGCATGTAGAAACCGCTGAGCTGCTCAGGGCAAATTAGTCCTTTTGCTTCCCCATGGTAGGGATGAAGAATTTCCTCCCCTCGTGGCTCTCAGATTGGTTAGAATGAAGTGTATGATTGTGTACAAGCAAACTATCTGACAGCACAGCCCCACCTTCGAACACCGCTCTCCCCCCCCCGCCACATACACATTGTGGTACAGAAAAGCTCTCTTTTCGACTACAATTCCTGGACGAATGGAGCATGCATGCACATGTAGACTGGGGGATTCTTGGGAGTTGTAGTCCAAAAAGGCACATTTCCACGCTCTGGCTTCCCGCTCATAGCCACAAGTTGCCTTTGCCCCCTTATCACAGACGTTACTAGCCCTGAAGCTTTTCCCTCCCTCCCCCCATTGTTTCACTTGTTCGCTCCAAAAACCTCATCTTTGAATCAGCACATTTTCAGAAGTACATAGACATGATAGCAGGTGCTCATTGTTCCTCTCCTGCCCTCTTTAATACATGGGAATGGCCTTTCCACAACTATTCTGGAGTTAAATCTGCCTTATCCAGAGTTTGAAGAAGCTGCTTTTCTGGACTTCAAGTCCCAGAATCCCTCCGTTGGTGGTGCAAGGGACTGCAGGAGCTGTAGTAAAATAAAAATAAAAACAAAACTTTTCCAAGCTCTGGCCTGATCTCATCCAGCTGATTTAGGAACACATCTCCCACAGGGAGATTCGTACAGGCAGAACATGCTTCACGGCCATTCAGACAACACACTACTTTACTTCAGGGCTATCTGGAAGGAAAGGGAAAAATGCCACAGACCAGCACTGATTATTGCTCTGCAAGCTGGTGGCATATCAGTTTGTGGGCACAATTGCCTAGGGACAGCCTAGCAAGTCAGATTTAAAAACCTATAACAAAAATAGGCTTCTGTTTGTTTAGAACTTCATTCCTTACTCCCTTCCCTGGTTCCCAAGAGTCATGACTGCACTTCTTCCTCCTCCAGAGAAAAGCACTGACAAAACCAAACAAATCCAAGAGGATAATCTCCCAGACATCAGAGATAGAAAACATTTGGATTGGTTTTGTTTTGGACGATCGGCTCCCAGAGGTCCATAGTCAGTATGTCCATAGCTCATGCTAGCTGTGGGATTTGAGAGTTGGGGAGTCCAGAAAACAGAACTGTTTGCCATCTCTGAAAAGCACCACACAAAGCAAAGTGCAACGGCAGTGACCGGGCTCAAGAGCTGTCAGGGCTCACACCCTCTTGGCTATGAAGCGGTGGCATATCATACCCAGGCAAGAAGCTATTGCAGGCCAGTCAAGTCAGTTCCTATAAATCAAATATACATTCTGAGATAGGAACAATTCAGGGGGCGTTCAAGGCGCTCTGTTTTCTGTCCTCCTCTCTTCACTCACGGTCTGGATGCCTCAGCAGAGATTAAGATACCGACAGTAGCAACCCCTCTTTGTTGAGGATTAAAAGTGAGGCCACTATGGCAGCCAACGCATCACACAACTGCTTGAAGGCACAATTCTGCAGCCAGCAGGAGGACTCGAATCAGGGTGGGGAGAGACCAATAAAACTTTTTGCCCCAGCAGAGATTTAAAAAGGAGAGGCGGGGGAATAATAGGAGAGAAGTCTACAATTGATGAGAAATTCCCTTTTTATGATGGCTTTGAATCATTCTGCATTCCAGCTTCTCCACATAGCCTCACCTGCTCTGCCTGGAGGCAGTAAACTGGGAGGAGGGGAGGAATTCATGGACATTCTGTGTGGATGTAGGGGACAGGAGTGAAGAAAAGGTTCCCAAAACAAAAACAGAAGGAGTGTTATGTACATGGCAGAGCAAACTCTCCCACCCGTGAGAGACAATTTCTTTGGCTGGAGTGTAGAAGGAAAAAAAAAACCCTCCCCAAGAAAACACAAAAACACAGTAAATGCAGTGTTCAAATGCAAGAAAGACCACCCCCCCCC